CGATTATCTGCTGTAAATTGATATAGACCGACTCTAATTAACGCTTGATCATGCTAAGAGATAATAGCTGAATATGTTTGGAGATAAGTGAAAACTAACACAAGTTTACCACTCGGTGTGAATCTTTTATTTCTACTATGCCATCGGGTATTTTACAAATTAGAAAGAACTCTTGCTAAACCTAAATGAGATCGTAGCAATATTATGCGAGAGAGTATCAATTTGTTTTTTTTCCTTCTTTCTTCTATACCAAACAATTATCTTCTTGGTTCTTACAAAATAAATTCGGTTTATTATGAACAGAGGAAAGATAATTCCAACAGCATTTTTTAATTGAAGTTTATTAAATTCTTCTTCCTTTGTTAATTATGTAAACAATAATAAGATTCGAGACATTAAAGAATTCTTTACAAAGCTTTTATTGATATTTTCTAAACCCCATCACGTAAAAGTAATATAGTCATAATGGTTAAAACAAATTCTTCGATAATTAAAAAATCGCTATAAAGTTTTAATTGACATTTCTTTCAAATTAAAAATAATTTTTGGCGCATACCTTAGAATTAATTTCCGATTTCATATCGTAGCGTCTTAATTATCGATTTAATGAGAAAGGAATAAATTTTAATTCACAATTTTGAATTTTCCGACAATGCCTATAGGCCTTAGATATTAGACGCAAATTATATTGAAGTAATTTTAGTCATGCATTATTGATGCTTCCATCAGAGGATTCTGACAGAATATGAATGCCACATTCATTTTCTCATAATATTACCTGATGCGATATCTTTTTAGACAGAAATATTCTAAAAATATCTATAAGAAGTTTCTATCATCTTTGGGAATAATTTTAATTTCATTAAAGCTTTCCACTTTGGAAATTGTTCAAATAAGCGTTAAAATTAATCAAATATTTAATGAAAAGTTTATTTCTTTATATTTTTAGTATATAATTTTTTTTTAAATTAAGTTATTTAATTATGAATATTTAATTTTAAATATCTTAATTGTATTTAAATACCTTTATTTATTAAAATTGAATATTATTACAGCTTACAGGTACAGTACAGTATATGTTAAATTATCTTTATGTAATAAATATAATCAATATTTGTAATAGTTTCGTGTTAAAATCGACATTATTATTATTATTGAAATTTAGTAGAATTAACATTTTAAAATTTGATAGAATAGCGAATAAAATTCGCGTTTTAAAATTTTAATGTCTCAGTAAACAATTTAAATTTGAAAATACGTCCGTTACGTAACTTTATCCAATTAATCAATAAATTCATTGAAATTTTATGAATTTAAATAAAAAATTTTAAGATTCTGGAAAGAGAGAGAGAATAATTAGAATGAAATTAAATATTTATTTAATTTTTTGAATATTTAAAAAAATTATTAATTTTTCATAAACAAAATTTTAACCTTACGTTAAAAATTATAAATAAATATTTATCAAAATTATTAGAAAACATATCATTTATTCGATTCCATTTGAGCGCTTGCTACGAAATTATAAAATTATTTTAAATTTATTTTTATAGACATTTAATGAATTATTAATTTAAATGTTTCTGAAAAATAAGTAAGTAAATAAATAAATAAATAGCTACTACGTATATTGGAATAAATATTTTAAATATTTTCGAATAGTTGTAATGCTTTATGTAGATAAATTGCGATGTATATAAATATGTATTTTTAAGACAAATTACTGTAAAATATTTAGTATTTTTATTTTAAAATATTAAGTATTCGCTTCTGATTAATATAATTAGGCATAAATAATAAGAAATAAATAAAAATATCATATAGAGCACGCACTTCCAAGGATAACCTCTTCTATTTTCATTAAAGCCCTCGTATTCCATCTAATGATTTCTATTTATGGCATCGAATTGATCACATCTCAAAAAAGAAAAAAAAGATCTCGTTCCTCCATTTTTATTTTTTGAAGATAATAGATTTAATAAAACGATATACCGATATATTTTTTCTAATTTTTAATTATTTCCTTCCTTAAAAAGATATATTAATTAATAATTTTATAACTTCACTAATGAATTTTTGTAGGATACAAGATAAAGCTGATACGATATGTTTATGAAGTAGTATTTTTTTAATTATTTATTTATAAAAAATTTTACATTATATATCAACAAATTACTTATTATCTCTCTTTATAAAAGTTTATTCATTTATAAAATTATCGTAAATAGTTAATTATAATTTATAGTTGTTTGAAGACAATCTTATCTTTTCTTAAATTGAGATCCCAGTTTATTTATCGATTTAGATAAAATAAATATAGAATAACGATTATTCCTACAACATTATATTGCATTAAGTTATGCTGGACAATGCAATTAGTTTCGTAATGGGATAATTAGAATAGAATCTCTAAAACCCTTAATAATGTAACAATGGTAACTATTAATGGATAGATGAACCCTTGTAAAAATCTTAGATGATTTCATTAAAGTGATTATTCTTATAATTCCAAATATCGATTAGATAAATAATTAATTTTGAATATTAATGCTGAATATATGCGAAATTTTTATGCTATTTTATGTAACAGAAATTGTTATATTTAATTAAATTAAAATAATAATGCGTATAAGATTAATGTAATATAGTGTCTTATTACAATAACAATGTTAATTAATATGTGATTTTAAGTAATAAAATTCGAAAATAAGTTTTAATATAGAAATGATGATTAGAGAAAAGTAATAGCTATGATCATTATTACAGTTCCATAATTTTATTACTCTACTTTTTACAAGAAAAAATGCAAAGAAAAAAATTACCATTACTTGTATTCCTTTTTGTTTTACTGATCAATACAATTAAACACTACAAAATGTCTTATAATCTGTTTAAAAGTGATGTTTAATCGATTTACGACATTTCATTTCGCTCTCATTTCTCCAACAAATTTAAATCTTTAAACTGTTCGCAGCTTGCTAGAAGATCGCAGCTCATTAACTACAAAATAAATATTTCTACAAGAAAATAACATTACCGATGTAAAAATGCTGTTTTTTTTTTCATAATTTGATGTACCATTTATCAGTTTTCTCATCTATAGGTGTGAAAAAAAGATTCGCAAATACAAAAGAAATAATATATCACTGCCATATGTTGTATACATACGAATCAATTGTGTCGTGACAGAATAAGATACAACTTCGCTTGTTTAAACTTAGTTGCAAGCAGATCCATAAAAATGTTTGTGTAGAATACTAAATATTTTATATTATATTAATTTTACAATCTAAAAATTGCGTTTTTAATACAACGAATTGTTTATGTTATATAAAGCTAATGCAAATTCTATTAATAATAATGTAATTGACGAAGTTATAAACGAATTGCAGATTTTAAAAGAGATTTAACTTGTTTACAGTAATATTAGGAAAATTCTGTTGATGTATATCCGATTTTAAACTCTCAAATAAGACGTCGAAGACAGAATTTCTACACATTCTCGATTTTCCGATCTGGGAAAATATCTTCGATTCAAGTTTGGAAAATGTCCATCAGATATCCATTAAAAATGTTGACGAAGATTTTGAAAGTAATTTCGAATGTGAATTTTGTAATTAATTTAAGTATTGTCATTGTCGTAAGTAATGTTCCCGACGGAGTATTTCATTAGATAAAATCAACTATTTTTAAAGATATCATTACCTATATTAAAATTATTAATGATAGTTCATACTTAGGGCGCATAAATGGGATTATATCTAGATACGAAGCAAACTAATTTCGGAGAAGGTTGAAGGCATAAAATATTACTTTCTTAATAACAAATCTTCCAAATGTTAGTGGTTGGCAACGACAGCTGTAAGAGCCACTAATGAGCTATTTTTTTGTAGGCAAAACGCAAAAGGTGACCATACCGACTCTCGGGGACGAGAAGGGGCGATAATATTAATCACATTAGTTTGCCAACAGACGGAGACATGATCGATAGCAATGTCTGATAAAATGTTTCCATTTAATGTGCACACAATTAGTAGTTAGTGTTAGTATCCAAAAGGACAATTTGCAAACTAAGGAATTTTAAAAGATATAACGAATTGACTTCTTTAGCGCTCTTCATCATTCTTTTATTACAATTTTCAACAACTGTATTATAAAATAGTTTTTGCATTTGCTGCAATTTGCATTCGCAAGAAATTATTCGCTGACACTTTTCCGGCTTAATTGGTGAGTAAGTCGAAGCGAAGGAAATGAATTAAATCATTTTATCCTAAAATTAAAATGACAAAAGTAATAAATAATAACTTCTTTTTTCTCCTCTCTGCCCATTTCTGTTGCGTTCACAAAGGAGAATTTCAAAATTACGACTAAAAGTATTTTTAATATTTGTAGAAGAAAGATTTGCTTCCATTACTGCATCTCATTTTTTGAAAGTTCATTCCTTTTAAGAACTTATTAAAATTTAAAGAAGAAATATACTGGAACACGACAATCATTTTTATCCAAATGAAGTCGATAGGCTTTAATAGGAAAACTTTTATGATTGTTTTTAGTAGTTTCCTTTTACAACTATATTTCTCTGTTTTTTCCTTACTTTGTTTGAATACTTCCTAAATAATAATTGTAAGAAAATAATTACAAAATGCTATTAAAATAATCAAAGTTTAGTTTCGTTGATACGCACACAAGTTTATATAATAGGCCTACAAGAAATGACCTAATTGATACATTATGATGTGAATAAAACAACTTCATTTTATTCAAATAAAAATATTCTGTTCAATAACTACAGATCACATGATTAAATCAGCAAAAATATTTAATGTTTTTTTAAATCATTTTTATTAATTTAAAAATACAATAAAAACGAATATGATATGATTTCACAATTCTATCACCACCAACTTCACAGATAATTTATGATTTTTTAAAAAATTTTATGGAACTGTTAAGAGTTTAACTACAGTAATTGGGTTAATTAGACATTTTTATCTCGATAGAAGACCGGAAGTTGTTCGTGGGCATGCTCAGTAAACAGCAAGCAGAAGATGAGATCAAGCAGCTATTCGAACCGTTCGGAACAATAGAGGAATGCACCATCCTCAGGGGTCCTGATGGCCAAAGTAAAGGTAAGCCCGCAATCCGATATCATTCCTCTCTGATTGATTGCTGAATATTTCTATCCTAGATCAGAACGGTCACGGGATTCGATTTCCGACAGACATAAATCGAATTATCCAAACCATAGCATACAAATTTTAACCTTCTTTACAGAATTTCAGAAATGTCCGAGATAAAAAATTGAAACGAAGTTTTATATTGTAATCTCTTATCGAATGAACAAAGTAGTTGTAAATATCCTGGATATAATTTTCCAAAGAAATAATGACAAAATAAGAATATAGAGAATGAAGACTCTTTTGTGTGTCATAAACCTCTTCTATTGGTCGAGACTAACTAGAGAGTGAGAGCATCTCTACCATTTCAGATGGCTGCAATCACCATAGCAACCATTTCTCACAGTTTCCGGGAAACACAATAGAATTTACCGAGCGGAGATTAAAACAACTCCCTGCAGAGAAGCTGTTGACATCTAACTACTTCTCTGCTGATTTTTGGAAGAGGAGTACCTATAATCAATAAAATATATTATTAATCAGATAACATACTAAAAATGGAATCTTTGCAAAGAAGTTTCGCAATTCTATTAAATTCTTATATGCAAACTGCAAGAAAAATAGTGCAAACTTATTTGCATCCTCACGAACTTAGAAGTATAACGGATGCTCCCCTGCACACGTATCTTCCCTGCTCGACAGAACGAATCTACAGAAAAGCATTTATAAAGGGATTAACTATTCAAATAACATTTTAATATCAAGTAAGAGTAAAACTGAGATATTTTTTTTAAATGAAATTAATGCTTTAACGGAAAGTTATTTTATTTACTGTAACTTTTTCTTAGTATTAAGAAATGCCAGAGTTAATGATAGTAAGATCGAAGTTTAAAATGAAAATCGATAAGTATAGATCTGGATGAAATGTACTGTACTTTATCTAGGTATGCAAATCCGCATATTATACATATTTGGGCATTGTGGGATGTTAGAAATACTCGCGGATTAATGCAAAGTAAAACATCCGTCAATAAATATTGTTCTTTACATATAAATGCAAGATTGTATATGCTAATGAATTTTATGATTTGACAAATTTTCTAACAGCAGCAAGCCGTACTTGAATTATGCGAGTGAATCGAGTAATATAACCTCAAGTTTTATTCTCAGTAATAGGCGTATAACTGCCATGTTAGTCGAAGCGTAGAGTGGAGAAACGTCGTTGTCGCTAAAATTTTCCGTGTGGACCAAATAATAATTAGTTTGGAGAAATTTTAGATATTCTCACTAATCTCCGGTCGCTTTCAATTACTTGACTGTGGCCTAGTAAAATGTAATCTGCAGGAATTAATGGAAAAATCTCTCCGTGACTCAGTCATTTCATCCAGTCGTAAATATAGAATGTAGTGACTTTAAAACCTTATCTCATTCTACATAACTGCAAACAGTAGATGGAATTAATTAGTTTGTTCTAAATCCCAGGAGAAAATGACCGAGTCTTAGCGACAGGTCACGTCTGGTATCCAGTACCGAATAGTCGACTGAAAAGGAAAGGAAAAAAACCTTGTCTGTTCATTCAACAGGTTGCCATAGCAACAAGCTGCTTCTCTAGCCGAGCCGGCGACACCTCTCTGCCTAGCAATACCGAGCGCTAAAAATACTCCTCTCTTGCAGGTTCCTGGGCGTTGCAAATTGTGCAGCTCTAAGTATTATCACGGATGCTTCTATCTTAACTTTTCCTATCATTTTTCATATGAAACGGTGATAATAATTACGAAATATCGATTGTAATTTACATGGATTGCGCTTGTTTTTTCTCTTTTTATATGATTTAAATATTGAACAGAATGGAGAAGAAAATATTTCCACTTCCTTCCAGCAGGCGGAATATAAAAATGATAAACATATAAGGCGAATGCAAATGTGGTTTCTATGAAATGGGGATGACAGTGCACATCTGCAAATAGATTTCTCTTATAATATACTGTACATATATAGAAAAAATATGCTTTCTATTATCCATACAATAATTTGTTTCCAGAATTGCTTTGCGTTGGATTTTAATTAGACAGAAGATGCAAATTTAAAAGAAATATGATCAAAAAATTAAAGAACCGAGAAGTAAAATATTGCGGGTGAAAAGATAAAATTTGGAAGACAACTTTCCTATGCAAAACCGTGGAGCGTGCAGTGAATTTTCAGCAATTCTGCTTTTGAAAAACTATTCGCTTTTCATCTCTTTCTCCATTTGAGATCAATCTATTAAGACTTGGCATCGGTAGAACAGTGTTTACTTGGGCCACAGAAAAGGAGAAAAGAAGACATAAAAGTTGAAGGATTGGTACAATACATTTCAGTTTCGGGAGTCTAGAAAACATTTCTCTAACCTAGCCACATTTATCAAGTGAAGGGAAAGACATTTGTCTTTCCTCCCCTTCTTTCAGGAACGCGAGATGAGCCCCGTACCATCAACATGGAAACCGAATGAATGGCATCGGGGAAGAAAAAGGGGAACGCAAAAAAGTACCCGGATGCTAATGGAACTACACGGATTTAATGTCCAGATCTTTTTTCTTTTTTCATTTGATAACAACCTTTGCCGTCCGTTTCCAATGCTACGACTTTCTTCTAAAACTCATTTCTTCTTTAGAACAGACAAATACGTCATCACGATGTCTCCAGTTCGGTTATTGGGATTTAAGTGGACTCTTTCCATTTCGTCTCTATAATTTCAGAGCAGTAGGGACAGATGACTAGCGATGAAATACTATCCTAACAATACGTTAAGATTATAACAAGAACCACAAAATTGAAAATTCAAAATTTTTTTTTCTGCAGAATTCAATTTTGAAAATATCTTATTAGCCGAGAGATACGAGGACTTTCTCTTCTTCTTGTCACTTCTATTTGTCAACTTAGTCAGCATCCGATAGATAACTATTGATACCGAATGTCTGGCCCGGCCTCATGAGAAAACATTTCGATCTCATCGTAAATTGATGAGAAAGTTTAGTAGATTCAGCAACAGTTCTTTATCTTCTCTACATTATGTACTCTATCTTTTCCTTCTTTCTTTCTTATTATTTTTTTTTTAATTCTTTAAAAGTTTCTGTCATTTAAATCTAATTGCCTTCTTTCGATATAATTTAAAATTTTTGAATAATTATAAAAATATGAATCATTTTCACTATAATTTAAAATTACTTGGAAATAATTAAATAATTAATTTAAATATCTTATGTAGTTAAGTGTTATGAATTTTTCTACATTTACAAAACAATTTTTCTGTAAACAAGAGAATATTCGCAAATTTAATTATAAGCAAGGTCTAATTAAATAAACTCTTAGTTAAACAATCTTATTATAAGTTTAGTAGTAAATATTTTATTTTATACGTTAAAAATATTACAGACAAGCAGTCTTTCTTTTTAGAATGCTGCCCCCCCAAATGGATTAAATGATCGACATTCCGACACAGGACAGTTTTCTAACAATTCGATGTTCAATTGTATAATTTTTTTTTCAGTATAAAAAATATTTCAAATTGAAAACTGACAAGGTTATACTTGATTGATTCGGAAGTAACATATTTATTATGTGGCAGGTGTATCTGACCACTATAAAAGTAAGCATGTAGAGGTCATTTGAACTAACGAACTCCATTTATCTCTCTCTCTAGGTTGCGCGTTTGTGAAATTCAGTTCTCATGCAGAGGCCCAAGCTGCCATTAATGCACTGCATGGAAGCCAAACAATGCCTGTGAGTAAAGCCTATGTCTTTGTAGCATTAGTCAACCGTAACTGTAATTACTCAGTTACCTTCCGTTGTAATTGTAATACAATTACTTAATGATATTAGTAATACAGTTGCTAACTCTAATGCATACAGACCGTGATTAATGATTGAACTATACCATTTGTCAAATAATGAATAAAATTATGTATTTTATTTTATAATTTTATTGTTTCTTTAAACAATCGGTATAATATCGAATTTGTATTTTAATTAATTGCACATTTTTCTGAAAAAAATTTAGATGCATAAGAACAGGTCTAATGAAAATATATTTTTTCTAATTATAAAAACAATTAACTATTATTATTATTATTATTATTATTACGAAAAATTAATTATAAACGTGTAATAATTGCTGGAAAATCCTCAATAGATTTAAAAAGTTTGTTTAGAAAAGATCAAAAGATTACTTCTAATGCTCTGTACTATAAAGAAAGTTTTAAGCGCTTCTTGTCGTAAATCCATCTTTAAATCATCGAAACAATTTTTTTTTTAATTTTTGATAAAACTTTTCTAATACAAAAGCAATCTTCTTGATAGCAAAACGGTGGTTGTTGAATTGAGGCCGTCAAAACCAATCTCTTGGATATATATCGACTGACACGAGATACAATTTAGATGAAACATCAGTTCGTTCATCAAAATGAATAATTCCAAATTATTTGAAGGTCGCCGTTTTATATCACTAGTTTTTTACTTGTTGAGACCTGTCGAAGTAGTTTTGATTCTTTAGATGTTACACAATCGTTAACTATGACAAATGATTCAATTTTCATTAAAAGAATTATTGTCAGCACCTATAACATTGGTTCCGACAATTTATTGTACAAATAGAACTTTTTAAAATCGATCCGAAAAGAGAAAAACTATTTATAGAGTGAAATATTCTTAACAAGACAAGATAAAGTCGACAGTAATGCTTTCTAGACGACTTCCAAGCTGAAATCGTAGAATCGGTAGAAAAAATAAAAATAAAAATGAGCTATCTATGCTCGTCTAGTAACGACAAATAGTATGACGAGCGATGAGCTATTTGTCGTTCTTTTCATCGAAAAATGTTACTACTAGCAGTTGTAGATAGTGACAGAACATTCCATAGATGTAGGAGCAGTAGCCTCATATTTATACTTTGGTTATGTATTGCGCGAGTGTATCGAGGACGTCCCAGCAATTTATTTAGAATTACTGATTTATGGTTCGAAATAAATGGGAAAAACGTGGGAAAATCACATAAGAATACTATTTAATTTTTATTTTTAAAATAATTTTTTCCTTTTTTCTTTATCAATTAATGTTTTTCTGCTTTATGTTTAGGGAGCATCATCTAGTCTAGTTGTGAAATTCGCCGACACAGAAAAAGAGCGACAGTTAAGACGGATGCAGCAAATGGCGGGAAATATGGGACTTCTCAATCCATTCATGTTTAATCAGTTCGGTGCTTATGGTGCTTATGCCCAGGTAGACCATTTTTGATGTTTTTAAAGTTTAATGTTCGCTCGTAATGAATGTCCAATGTAAAAAAAGATAAACATCTCTTGTTGAAAATTGGTGGATTACATAGCCGAAAGCAATTTGGAAATTCAGATGTTAGTATCATTTGTTGTTTTAGAAAATAAGATAGCGTCGTTTTAACTACGAGTATATTCAAACTTGGCTTTAATTTCTTGCTTCAAACTACATAAAAATAACGATAATTATACTTTCCTTTAAGCTAATTTTTTGGAGATAGCATCAATTAATGGTTCATTTTAGTTAAGCATTTTAAAAGTTTTTTTTATCATGACAGGAAAGTATTTTTTTAATTTCACGAGTACGTCAACCATACAATTATCTTGATAAATCTTTCAAAATAAATATTAAAGTACTCTTATTAGATTTTTTTTATCGAAAGAAAGCAGTGAGACATCATCTTCTAGCGCAGTCTTCTCGTTGATTTGATCTCTCCGCATCTGCTATCAATGCAGAGTCACAAGCATGAATATAGCGGCGAAACAGGACTCTCTAATTGATTACAGGAAAGTGAACTGTAAATTTAGACTCAGCCTTATTATAATATATGTAGATCTAATTACTGCATACAGAACATGCAACCGTGAACTTTGATTATGCACAGTTTGTACGGAAAAGATAAAGATAGTTAAGTGAACGAAATGCGAATCGTAAATTTGTCAGTATAAAACCCGACATAAAACAGCTCTATTAATTTATTTTTCGTATTAACGCATAATTCTAACGTTTAATATTGTTGTTACCGAAAGATATATATGTAAGGCAAAAAGGGGTTGAAGGCTTAGCGTTCTGGGCTATTTACTCCAACCAAGTAATTAAACGATACTGGAAATTAAAGCTTAGAACCTTCATAATAGGCTCCACCACTTGGCCGTGTAATTGCCGAATTAATGCGCAATTCTACTTAACGTGGACATTCAATGAACGATAGAATAAATTTTCTATCTGCCAGCTTGCCGGATGGATTTAATTCATTCATTTCGTTAGTTTTTCTCTCGCTTCAATTAACTAGTCTACTTCGTTTCTATACAATCAGTTCGTACAACAGCAAGCAGTCCTGATGGCAGCAGCGGCCCAAGGGAGTTACATCAGTCCTATGGCGGCATTAGCGACGGCCCAGTTACCCCAAATTGGAGCAGTACCGAATGGTCTAACTAGTCCAGCTCTAACTCCAACGTCAGGTAAGAATTTCTTTCAAATATAATAGTACAAAATTCGCAATAGCTGTGTAGATTTTTCTCTGAATTTAATTTACGAGTCGATACGTGTTGGGTGATTTATGTGTTTACAAATAGGATCGAAATTAATTAAACCAACTGATAAATTGTTTGAATGGAAGTAACAGCTATAAAATCTTATGAAAATCTCTCGATTATTTACTCCTAATCGTCAAAAGTAATAATTTGCAGCTTGTTAAATTCTTACATTTTACATGCTTCTTTCGTTCCATCCGTCATAAGCATCTAAAAATATATTCGAAATAAACAATTTCGTGTTGTTCGAAATAAAAATAATTTCACATTTAATTGGCCAAACGTAATTCTTGCATTGATGATTTTTTAAATTATTCCCAGAATAATTTTTATGAGGTTTTCCTTTTTTTTTTATTATTGAAAACTAATAATTCTGTCAGTCATTTTTCTGCCATTTAGATAGAAAGCGTCGATATATATCCGTTGAAAAATAAAATAAGCCGAAGTTGAACCTGTAATTGTAAAGCCGACACCATCGTTTTTATTGCCCATGTGCAAAATAGCAAACATTGTTCAGACAGCGAGTAATACACTGTATGGAATTTCATTAGCTCTATTATTGCGTAACGGCCGACTACCAACCATCTCTTATTGTTGCGTTATCTGCTGTAACAAAATTTACTAGCAGTTTTCTGATTGGTTATGGCGAACAAACCGAGAACATCAGCTTGTAATCCAATATAACTCTGCTGGTGCTTGCCCAGAAAATATTCTTTTTAAAAGTTCGATTATAATACTTTTATTTAAATGTTATTTTATTATTACCTTCGGGATATTTTGTAAATATTTACTTTGATAAAAATCCATTTGTAACAGCGGCTATTTGAAAATTCTGTGTACTCTGCTCTCTTTGATTGTTATTGGCTTAAACGCTTCTGTGCATCTCGGTTTAAATTCAAATATAAAATTTTAAACATTTCTTCTAAAATAAAACTTTTACACTGCCTAACCTTATATTTAAATGACGTATTAAAGCCGTCTAATATAAACATTAGTTTTATAAAACTAATTTTCGTATTTTAAAAATTAACCGGGCTAATATATTGCTCCTTTATTAAATTTAGGTTATTAGCCAGACTTAATGAGAATGCCGCTGTTTTCTTAAAATTCTATTGAGAGATTTAAAACTTTTAAATATGTTGTAGCCTTAATTTATTATTTCAGTATTTAAAAAATGATCTTTGTCATTTAAATTTATTCAAATAACCTCAATCAGCGGTTAATAGCTATTGTTTAAAATTGAAATATTTTTAAAAATCGAAAAAATTATAATTAAAAACATTAATTTCGTTAAAATGAAAATTTCTTTCTTAGATTTTTGAATTTCATATTATTGAATATTTCTAGAAAATTGATTACTACTTCATCTTTTTGAAGATTGCATATTTTCTTAGCTTCTTCGCGAATTCTTCCTTATGGCATATATAAATTCATAATTATTGATAAAGAACTCTTAATAACGTGCTATATTTTCAAATTAATTCCCAGTGTACTAACGAAGTCTATTAAGATTAACAAAGGATAGGAAATTGAAATTTGAATAAGAAATTATCCAACAAAGTTGATGATGCCGAATAAATACCAATACTATCATATAATATTTTAGCTTGTTTTTTTTTAGTTACAGTAGAACACATAATATATATGTAGAGAGGTAAAATCGATTTTCATTTAATAAGCAGTCAAATATTCATTATCTCCCACACACTGTAAACTAATATATAACCTGTAATTTTCGGGGAAGTCATGATTATGCTACAGATATTAGCCTTAGGCTTCCGAGAGAAATTTTGGATTAGTAAAATACTGTCCAAAAATACAATACCGATAAGTATATTATCAAACTAGTTAAGAATCAATAAACTATTCAAAATTCTTCTTTTTAATAAATGGTCATTTAGATTCTATCCAGACACGCATTTATTTAGACATAATAAACTAACATTGTACAAAAATAACTGATGATTTCCATGAAATGTAATCTTGCACAGGAAGGAATATAGGTCGTAAAAGTTCTTTATTTCATTCCCAAGAATTCAAATATTGTTACTCATGAATATTGTAGTATGTAGTTAAGAACGCTGCCTTGAGCTATTAAAACGATTTCAGTTGTCTGAACTTCGCCATATACTTGTGTAGTAATTGATCAGGTGTTTAAAAATCTGCGGTAACATTTATTCTTTAAATTAAAATTGGTTCCCTATCTGTAAGACTAAGATTGATACGTTTCTATTATTATAAATTAAGACAGGAAGCTACCAAAAGTAAATCAAATTAAAACAGTCTGTTCGATAATTTATGTGAATTATTTTTATGATCTTTATGCCTACTTAATTTTTCACATCTCATTTTTCGAAATCTTCTTCGAAACTGTAGCTAGTGGCGCATATCTAAAAATGAAAGATTTATCTTTACAATTTGTTAGAAGGAGAAAAGTTAGAACAATGAGATATCATTTCAAATTGAGACGTGCCTATGGATGGAGACTTTGATCGTAAGAAATCAAAATAGCGCTATCAAATATTTAATGAAACTTTTTATTCCCTACAAACCAATCGCTCACTTTTGTAATTAATCGTTCGAATTTTTAGAATAAACACCAGCAAAAAATCATCTTTGAAAAGGAATTGCCTGATGGGATTATTTGCTGCGATTGTTCTTTCATACTTAAAACGATCACACCCATCATAAACAGTTGATTTATGAATACTTGCTCCTCATAAACTGCTTGTAAGCATTTGCAAATTTTAGCAGGTTCGTAATAAAAGTAAATTTCAACACGACCTATTGATTTATTATTTAATTTTATATTACAGATTATGAACTTTGCCAAAAATCACAACTTCCGATAAGGAAAAAATTATAGATGGAGTTGGGAATAGGATTTTAAGTTTTCCCGACTGTTAAAAACGTTTCCTTTCATAAATTATCCGAATAGAATTATTATTGTTATTATTATAATTATCTTATTATTATTGTTTTTGAAATTAATTTTTTACACTTTTAATATTATGTTATTAATTATTATTTGATACAATGCAGAGAGAGGCCTGCGCGGATGCAGTTTTATTGCCATTTTGGCTTTTTGGACGCATCCGTAAACAGGCGGAGTTCGATTTAATTAATACTCTACAACAACAAAATGACCATTTATTAAAATGATAAAATGTAACCGTATTATTACACTAAAATCATTTATAATTACTGTAAGTGAACATCCGCGCAGGCTTTTATCACAAAATTAACTGTTGGAAAAAATATTGTTTGTTATGAGAAAATCTGAATTATATGACGAATAATTTAATTATATATTTAGTTTACAGTGATGGAGTTTTACACTGTGTACAAATATCGGACCCTTTGGACACTATAGTGATGACGGCTAACTCGAGACCAGCTTCGTCAGGTGCGTGAAGATTCCGTCATTTTTACAGGACGGAATGTAAATTTTTACAAATTTAATATTGCATTTAAACATCTTCATTCAATTGGTATTTGGAAAACAGGAAGATTTATATATTTAATTATATTAAGGCGCCACCAACATGTGTTATAATGGAAAATTTCGCTTCAAAGACATCCGGTCTCTATGATAAATAGCACTTGGAAGGAATTAAACGAAAAATATAAAATGCGTAAATCTTCAAAATTCGTATGTGTGAATATAAAATCGTTGATATGGTTTGTAAAATTAAAGCTTAAATTCGATTACGAATATTTTTCGAATTAAATGGTAAAACACCAGCAATATAGCAACAGTCGGAAATTGATCCACAATACCGATTAAATCTCTCTACTAAATTAAAATAATTTGTCGGAGAAAGTACCGAAATCAATGGAGTATTTTGCAGCTTGCTTGCTTTCTAAATGGTATTTGATTTGTTCCTTGGAAAAGTAAACAATTGTCTTCAATTTTCAACAAACGATTTCCAATGTCATCTTTTATTCCTGCATTAATTTAAATCTAATAAAGAAAACTCCTTTTTTAATGCAAATAATAAATGTGAACTTCTTAAAATCGGTGACGTTTCATTAATAGACATTCATTCCCGTTCATTTAGTTAATAGGCATCTCCGTCTCCCAATCTAATTGATATTTATATGGATAAATACACCATTGCTCCTCGTCTTATCGTTAACAACGTGTTTCGCAGAATTATTCCTCATTTTCCTTTATAATTTGGTCTACATTTTTCATCTTTTTTATTTATTTCATTTTCAACAACGTAATTACTATATTATATTATTCTACAATATTTCTGTAGTAAGTCAGATGGAAAGGAACTTTGCTTTTTATAAGCTTGTCAAGAATGTCGGACATGTTTGTTTGTTTCTCTTTGATTTATGACCAATTTAATGAACAGTCCGCTCTTTTACATTTCGATTTAATAAGCTTGAATATTCATGATTGTTTACTATTGAATTTAAAATAGTTCATCCTTCAATTTATCATTTGTGTTACTTTTTCTCTCTCTTCAAGCTTTTAATAGCTATTGAATATAATCATTAATATAATATTAGCTTAAATCAGAAGTACTGTACAGTACATATATCAAACGCAATAAAATTTATATTCGATGATATATCATCAGTCATTTTACGCAGAACTTAAATATTTTTTAAAAACAAATTTATATTTTGCGTGTTTTAAATGTAATTTAATTAGATCCACCGCGAAAATTTTATTTCTTCAGTCAGTAAGAAATAAAGATAATTATTTATGATTTCAAATTTTATACTTATGGTCATGGATCATTAAAATAGGAATCAATGTGCCATAACACATCTGGTGTTGCAGAAAACTTATGGCAAGTTGGTAGAAAAGACAATTTATGACAATTGTACTCGAGAGGAAAGAGCGAAATCACAATAATTGAGTATAGGTCAGATTGAATAATCGTTGAAACAAATAATAAGAATTTTTCACTAAGTTTAAATAATATATAGTCGAATCTCCAAAAATAAAAATTTTCGCTTATCTTTATGATATCTTTCCAAGTTCTTCATAATTTTTTTTCTTTTTATATTGTATTAAAGCTTTTACTCCATGGAGACAATATCCACTTCTCAGTAATTAAGTCCTGTATTAATTTGTGAAGAAACCACCCATTAAAGATTAATGTAAATGAAAAGTTGTAACTAGAATTCAAATTACGCCATAAAAACTTTTTCTTGTATTCTGTTGTTTGTTTCATCATTTACTTCTTCAATAAAGACTATACCTCAGTAGAAAGCAAATTGCTAATTGTTCTAGATGTGTGTGAATAATTTTACTGCTCTTTTTACAGCCAAATAAAATTTAGCAAAGTATACAAAAATTACATACTATTACTAAACAAAAGTTTATGACAAGAAAGTAACTTCAAATATTTTAAATTAAATATTGGTAAGCAATACGAAAGAATATTTTTCATTGTTATGAGAGAGGAAAAAAATTAATAACTGATGTTTTTGCCTGTTATTATGTTTATCTACTTTCTAAAAAACTATTAAATTTTATATAATCGAAAAATTAAACATCATTTAAATATAAATAATTTGAGATGTAAATATTTTAAAAATAAAATTAATTACTATTCGTTTTTTAAAAATAAATATTCGACATTAAATTACGTTACTTTTAAAATTATAGTTTTAATCTCGTATTAGATATATTTAAAGAGTTTTTTAAATATCATCTAACATTAAAAGAATTTCCTATATTTTAAAAATACTCCAAATGATATTTAATATATCTTAATGTTAAATATGGCTTTACGTTGCTTTTTTTAAATTCAATTTTATTGATCTAACAATTAATTTTCTTTCCTAAGTTTAGAAGAATGTAATTTAATTAAAATTAATTAGGAATTTGTAATCATAGATTTTTTTCTTTTAGGTGCAGGGACACAACCAGTTAATGGTGCTATCCCTAACCTGCCTTCTCCTACCATGCCAAATTTTACAGTACCACAGGCCAATGGACAAGCTGGTGAGGTATATGCTAATGGCATGCCACACTATCCGCGTAAGTAGCCCTACTCCTCTATCAATTTTTTTCTCTTTTTTTAGAAATCGTTTATATCAATCATTTTATATCATAAAAATATTCTTTTATGTCAATATTATAAGCTAAGTGTATTTTATTTAAACCGAACATGATTTTTATGATCATTCAATTTTTATGTATCAATTACTTAACTTATTATGTCTACTTTAAAAATATAAACAATATCTACTCAATCATAATTTTTTTTCCTACTGAGTTTAATCAATAAATAATATTTTATATTATTATATTAAAATTTAAAATTTTTATAATTCATGTTCGTATCATTTTTTCCAAATTGCGAAATTTGTTATGCAAAGTTGGAAATATTCTAGTTGTTGACTTAAGAACTTATAGTTAAATATGGATAAATCTATAATGTAAAATGTACTCATCAAATACAAAGAAAAAAATTATGCATGAAAACATATTACATATTAATGCTGTATTTTAAAAAATGATTACACTTAAAAAATAAATAGTGCTTTCAATAATGGCAGCACTCCAAAATCAACTTCTGAATATTTATGATGATATTGATTATGAATTTTCTATATTTATAAAAACATTTTTCTTATTTTCGAATAATTCAATTTATAAATTCAACTTTAAACAAAAAATAAACTACGTAAGACTTTTAGTTTAAATATCATGCTGTAATTTAGTTTAAAATATAAATATCTTTTTATAAATGAAAATAATTACAAATTAATCTTATTTCCACCACATTTATTCTATTCTTGACATTTTTCTCTTTTCTATTTTAAAGTTTGGCGTTTTCGTCTTCTGCAATGAAGTACTTTAGCGACTTTAACAATGATTCATTTCATAGTTTGATTTTCTAAATACTACAATCTTAGTTTTGAAAATAAGTAATTTATGTGGGAACTTTCATGTTGCAATAGCTTTATATAAATATTTATTTAAATATATATAGGCTATTTAAAATAGCATTATACGGTGTAATTTTTAATACTTTACCAATAATATTAAGTATTTTATAGGACATTTACAACAAAATATTATACAGAAATATCGAAATAAATTAAAGTCATTAATTAGAATTTATAACATTATCATAATATATTAGATTGAGCTTACTTTTTATGAAGATTAAACGGTTTCGCGAACGTTTTGCCTTACAGCGAAAATCGGTTTTTATAAAATAAAGCCTGAGAGCCCATGAATATATAAAAATTATAAATATTAATTAGGCCTATATATACAGTTTAACATAAATATATATATTTTGATGACTGAAGAAATTATATTTATTTATATTATTATAAAGATTTTGTTAAATAAAATAGTATATAGGGGAGACCGGGGCAACTTCGGCATGCGGGGCAAGTTTGTCAAGCGCTTTTTTTTAAAAACAAATTAAAAGGAGACTTTGGTTATAGGTTAGGCAGTTGAGTTTTATTGGTGGCTTGTTGAGTGTAGTGTTTTTATTGTTCTCCAACAAGCGTAGTTGAATTATCAAGCAAATTTTCATTTTCGTTCAATTCCATATAATATTTTTTTTCCATTTATATTGAATTGGCAGGTTTTGTTATAATTCCATGATAACGAAAGTTACTTTTCCTGTTAGAAGGATGTAACTTCAACTTATTCACGTGGCCAGATCGTGGCTTGGCATTCTGTTCTCAGGGTTGTACTTAATGTTTCGAAATCATGACTAGCGGGGTAAGATCGGCAACATAAAGCCACATTAGAAGCAAAGGATAAAAATCAAACAGATGATAAATGAAAACATGTTTGCATTTGTTATTCATGTATATATGTCTTTGAACTTGCATTTCGTTGTAATAATATTAAATGGGTGTTGGATTTGTATTTCTTTGTTTTAATAGTGAATTCCAACTTATACATTGTTAATAACATAATTTTATATACGTGCCTATCTTGCCCCATTACTGTTGCCCCTATACCAGGGGCAACTTTAATAAAAATAATTAAAATAATTACAACTTTACAAAAAGAGAGAAGTTGCCGATCTTGCCCCTATACCCGGGGCAACTTCGTCAATTTCTCTCTTCTTGTAAAGTTGTAATTATTTTAATTATTTTTATTTCCAAACTGATTTTAACCAGTTCTATAGTAAGGTAACATTCCAATAGACAATATGCAAAGCTTTTTTTTTCAGTTTACAGCAGTATTTATTATTCAAAATTTAAGTAAAGCTTAACATGCCGATCTTGCCCCGGTCTCCCCTATACTTTTAGGCTGAGAGGTAAGACGTTAGCCTACAGCTTCTTGGGGGGGGGGGTTGATCAAAACTGGACTCTTCGAAAACCCAAGGGAATTTTCGGAGGATGGTCTGTTCTGAATATGTCTGACCCATATCTCACCATCCGACCGCCCCATCGTGGGCCTGGCCGAACTAACGATAGACTTAAAAAAATCATATATATATATATATATATTTGAAAAAAGTGTATGAAATTCTGTTGTTTATAAATTTAAAAAAATTCATTTAGAATGTTGAAATAATAGTTATAAAATTTTTTATAATAATTAACAGCATCATGAAAATGCTGTATTATAATTATTCTGAATTTTATTTTCAACATAACAGTGAATTACTATTATACGGAAAGTTATAAACCCGGAGATAAGAATTATTTCATCAATACAGTATATTTATTTAGGCCTATATGCCATTAAAAACGTAATACATAGGCCCATTTTATCAAAGTTCCTTTAACAAGTTAATTTTTATTTCGTATTGACTTCTTATACTTTGAAATTAAATTATTTTACAGCAATTTAATTTGTTTGTTATTTGTTCATTTAACAATGTTTAGTGAACAATTCAATTAGTCTTACAAATTAATGTATTTTAGTAATATGGTGATATCGTTGAATAGGCATATAATCTACTGTAGATTTTAAATATATACATGTATATAGACCAGACATTTAAATGCAATTTAGTAAATACACAATAATTTAAATAAAAACAAAGTTAAAATTTTCTAATAATTCAAAACGTAAAAAATTACAAACTTTTAAAGCAATTAATTAATATAAATTTCCGCCTGTTTAATTAAACTAGTTTAATTTAAAAATATATAGTTTTTTATAAATAAATAATTTTAATAAAAAATATCTACGTTTTTCTATTAAGAAAAATATTTAAGTTTTATTTCAGGAAGTAACATTTGCGATAATTATTATTATAATAAAAACTACTATTGGATAATGTCATAACTTTATGGCATTAAATACCGTATTATAAAACAAGTAAAGAGATAAAAATAATATAGTGATATCGTTCACTTATTGGTTTCAGATATTTCAATTTAAAATTTAATTTAAAAATCTATTAAAAAGTTATATAGAAGCATAAAAAGTTATATTTTCTGAATTTATCATTAAATTCGATTTTTACAAATATGTAAGAATGAAGTTTAAAACTTGAAATTTTATTTACACTGTAGAATCGACAAATATCAGAATAGTGTTTTTACTGTTTTACTCCTTCAATTAGCTACATTATATAAAGAAAACTTAATTTTTTTCAACAGAAAAATTAGTTAAATCGATTTTCTTAAATAAAATATTAATATATAGAAAAGGTATCAATAAGGAATCTAGGATGTAAAGATTCGCATAGAGTTGCAAAATACAAAATAAGTCAAGAATTCAAGCAAGTGAGGAACATTCTTTTCTAGAAAATTTGTAACATATAATACTGTAAAAGAAATATGAAAAAAAATAATAAAAATTGAACTGAATTTTATCATGAATATAAAATCTTTAAAAAATAGATCGAAATATGATGATAAATTTCTAGAATCGCATCCAAAATGTTAAAAGCACAGTATTCACAATGTGAACAAAATTTTTTCTATATACCATTCTTATTTTGCTATTCGATAATATGGTAGCCTAGTGAATGCTTTTCAAATTATACTGTTTGAAAAATTTGAATTATTTAAGCTAACTTCTAGACTACAATGCAAATTACTTATTTCTCAAGAGAAAACCGATTATCCTTATTTTGTTATCCGTATTTCTATGTTAATATCTGATATGATAGTAAAAGCATAAAAGCAGGCTTTGTATAATTTATCATAAAGTTTCAATAAAGTATAAAGTATGCCTAAATGTATATTCTGCTTAAATTCTACGATACTGGAAAATAACAAAGTAAATGAGAGAATTCCTAAATTTGAAAAAACGATTTCAGCTACGTTTCAGAAACTTTCCAATAATGAAATACTGATAAAGTTGTTTTACTTATGCCAAGAAAAAAGCTGAGAAATAGATTAATCTTCATATGTGATGTTGAATCTATAGATAAAAAGACATCTAAGAATGAAGAATTTTTCGAGGAAACAAAAAGAAACAAAGATTAATTGGACAATAAGTTACCTCATTCATTCATTAATAGAAAAATATATAGTTTAGCATGATCAGGTTAATTCGTATTTATTAAAATTTATTATTTGAAAGTTAGTTTTTCAAGATAGCTATAAAACGAAAAAAATTATTTTTATCTTGGCCTCCATTAATTTGATCAAACAATTGAAAATTAATAGATTAAATCAAATGTTAATGTAATAAAATCAAATTAATCGTCAAAAATTTTCTCTCTTTTTAATTTTTTGGATTATTTTCGAATTATAAACATACTAATGCTATTCGAAGAACATTTAACTATCTTTACCATAATTTCATTTCTGTTAAATATTTTTAAATAAAGACTTTTATTAAAGAAATTTATTACATAACTAAAGCTAGACATGAAATATATTACATCATTAATAATTATGCGAACATTGTAATCGTTAATTGATAATACTATATTAGATAATACAAAAATTCTATTTAAATAATATAAATCTTATCCACGATGGAGTTTCGTCCGAAAAATATTGAACAAAATAGTTCAGACATTTTTACTTGAAGTATCAGAATTTTTTAGATCAGACTTTTTTAAAATTTCTTATACAATATTATATAAGGAAATAGAGATATTTTACATTATTTGTCCTATATG